AGATTTTATTGCACTATAAGTTGTCACAAATTCTCTTCAGCAGATGGTTGTAAGTTCAAATCCTGCCTCAGTGTTACTGATGTATCTAAACAGATTGCTCCGATACTAATCAACCTTTTTTTTTTTTTTTTAAACCCCAATTTGGTTCTTCTACTTTAGTAAAAAAATTTTCTTTTAGTCTCATTACTTAAAAAAATACCTTTTTGGTCCCTAAAATTTGAAATTTAGTCTCTTTTTAGTCCATTCGTTAAGTTTTGATGTTAAATAATATAAATTTCAAAGGAGAGGAATAAAAAATTGGCTTTTTTCCAAAATAAAGAACCAAATTAAGGCTATTTTTAGTCATTTTTAACTCTTTTTTGGTACCTCTACTTTGAAATTTCTATCATCTAACATATCACATATGCAAAACTTAACAAGGGACTAAAAATGCGTCAGATTTCAAAATATAAGGATCAAAAAGGGACTTTTTTAAGTATAAGGCCTAAAAAAGGATTTTTTACCTAGAAGGACATAAAGGAAATTTTTTACCTAGAAGGACTAAAAAAGAACCTTTTATCAAAGTAAAGGGACCAAAATGGGGATTTTACCCCACCCCCTCTCTTTTTTTTAAATTGATGGTGATGATACTAATCAGGCATTGCTAGCTAAACAGAGGGTAGACCATGCCTGTTCTAGAGTTTGAAAGATAAAGTTTCTACGTTACTAATGTACGAACTACGAACATAAAAATCAATTTAAACTTAAGAAGTGTATAAAATTTTTTATATATCTTTTAATATAAAAAATTATAGAAAAAGATTTATAAGTTCAACGAAACATCCATGGTAAACATATCACCATTATGAATATTTAAATATCTATACATAGACAATACCGCGCTCATAAGCCAATCAATTTATGAGCCAAGTAAATTAGCAACAAATAGATGTTAAGTACACCATCAGGTTTGCTTAAATAAGTTTATTTATTTTAATAAAAATTTAAAAGTTTAATCAATAATCCAAAATAAGTTTAAAATCTTAACATAGGATTTTGCTCTCAAGAAATAGCTCATGAAAAATTATTGATCTTTTCTAAATTTTAATTAATAGCCTAAAATTTATAAATCTTTCTTTTTTACCCTTTTCCTCCCCTTGTTACTGATCATGTGTAGCATAGGAGCCAAATTCGTTCTTCAGTTGTTTGAATCCCTGGCAATTGCATATACTATCTGCTTCTTCAAACTTCCAGTCACTGTAACAGTGATTTATACAACAACTTCAACATGATTTTGTTTTGGTTCGTCGGAAATGACACAAAAAATTTACTCTCTTCACTGACACATTTTTACAAGACAGTCAAGCAGCAAAAGGAGAAAACTGGAAAGGATTGAAAATGACAATGACAATGAATGCGTTAGCTTGATATTAACACAGATCCACTTTACATTAATTTCTTTTCATTGTTGAAGAAAAATCTGTACACAAGGATAATCTATTTTCCAATTTCCTGGAAGAAAATTGCAGGCAAGTTGATGTATTGAACAAGGATAGTTAGGTTCTTCCTGAAAAAATTTTTTTCTGATGGAAGAATATCCTTGACCTCGAATCGAATTCTGTTAGCAACCCTCCTGCTAATTGGCATCATCAGTCTTCCTCATCAACTTCATCAAAGGGAAGTGGAACAGTCATCACTGCTCTGAATTTTCCAGCATTATTTAGATGCTCATTCTCTAACCTGGACCGTTGAAACATTTACTTTATTAGAGCCAGTGAAAATACGAATTTGCATGCTGATTCGAGCAGATAGAGATAGCAATAGGTGACTAAATGCAAGAATCCATTTTTACCTGTAGAAATTCCATTGTCCTCTTCTAATGACTTCAAGGGCAGCCAAAAACAGTCCTGTTACTCTGTAGTCAACATGTTCAAAGCTTGAATGGAGAACTGATTGGAGCCAAGCAAGCCTGAGAATCAGGTTCAATCCCTGCATGTAATACAAAAATTAGTTTTCAGAAATCAGATTTTGATTAATGAAAACCTAACAGGAAACAAATTCTGTCTATGATGTGTGCCTAATTTCAGACAATGCCTGATACATTGTTCTCATTTCCCTCTATCATGATTTGGAATCCCTTTATTTATTTCCTTTTGAAATGGTATTATTAACACTGAACATTAAGAAAATGTTCATTCTCGCCCCTGACTTCCAATCCTGAATTCCAGCTAATCCATAACATCCAAATTGTTAGTCTAATCAAAATTACGGAAGAGGTGCTTTTGTTCATGGATTCTGATATTGACTCACTAATTCTGAAATATTAGATTTTGTCTATTGATTTTTCTCTACTGAAGGGGAGAAGAGGGCAGATCATATACCATGGAGAAGTAGTAAATGGTCTTTTGACGAAGCATTAATTCATTCCTTAGCCAGGGATTTTTGGAATTCACTTTAAGCAAACCCCAGTCCTTTACAAAGTCCCAATACAATTGGTACACAGTTGCAGCAGTTGAGATCACCACAAGAAGACACAGCCATCCCACACTTCTTTCTTTGTCATAGGCCACTTTGGCCCCAGCTGCTAGCATTGCGGATACATATTTACCTAGGTTCACAAGGTGGCTTATCTGCCCTTCATCGAACCACCTCCTAGCACACTGCAATTGAAACCAAGCTAAATCTTCATCAGATATATACAACTTCAACAGGATCTATGTTGAACCATGAAACATTAAATGAATATCGAAAAGAGAGAAATAAAAAAAATATATATATATATATATATAATATGAAAAAAAAGAGAAGTAGAGTAAAACGCTACCTGCATGGCTCTCAAGTAATAGGGCAGAAATGATACTGCATAAGCAAGGTCTCTATAATGCCCAGCTCTCTTGCAATATCCATAATCCTGAGTTTTGTAGCTTCCGGTTATATAATAACAAGCAACAAACTCAAGGTTTCTGAGCATAGGAACCTGTTCAATTATGAGGGTATTTATCAGCTGAATTCTTGCATCTTCTCTTGTAGTTTTCTACCCTTTCAAAGAAGAAAATCGTAATTAAATAGTAATTGTTGTCTACCTGACTACATAGTTGATCTGCCATAAAGAAGTCTAGCATCACAACCTGCAGAAGTAAATAATTGCAATTTGTAAGGAATTTTATATTGTCATATTGTTCTTTAAATATAATAAAATGGAAAGATAGGACAGTACCTTGTAGAAAGGAGATAAAATTATGTTCCTTATGACACAGATGAAGCGGTATCTACTTGATCGGTAGAAGATGTTGAAGGGGCAGACAAGCAACAATAAGAATACCTGTGGATGCACAAGGGTGTTAAAGGAAGTTCTAGTCTTTCTTATTTTTCTGTCTTCATTGCTATAGGTAAGATTAGGGATGTACCAGCAGCAGAAAGCCCGGGATTGCCTTAACCTCGGCATATGAATAGCCTTTTGTAAGCAGAGACAAATGAATGAACATAACTCCTATAACTGCTGCCATTGAAGTTGCACAAGTTAAGAACACATCTCTGTACTTAAGCTCCTTGGTTGGGGTTAACTCAAGAATGAAACTGTGATTTATACGAGCCTTTCTCCACATGAAAATGTTGCAGCCATACAGAAAGAAATGTAGGAACAACAGGCTAAACATGCTGCAACAAGAAAATTCATTCTAAT